ACGGGGAACCTAACTTCATTCTAATCTAGATATTGGGGATATTCTTCCTATTCTTCAATTTACTACACCTAAATAAAGTTTATCGCATTAGCTATCCAACTCTTTGAATGACAACTCAAACTGAGATCTAAAACTCAAGTTACAGCTCTTCAAAAAAAAGTCCAACTCAACGTCTCAATTCTAGACACCATCACCCGACAAAGACTCTTGCTCGCTCGGCGAAAATCCCTTTCGCTCCTACATCGCCTGACGAAGGTCCAGTAGCCATCCTGTTCTCTGCCTTCCATCACCTCCTACTTTTTACTTGCGGAGGCCTAGAAAAGTTCCATCGCCCGACGGCGCCTCCTTCATCGTCTGGCGATGCACACTAGAAAACAATTACCTATTGAGATCCCACACTTGTTCAGTCCCAAATCCTCTTGCAATCTTACACCAAAACAATTCCAATCCTCATAGTTTTCAACATAGAATCACTATACAATAACTACACAATATTATGAACATTATATACACCAACTCATGTCAATTCAACATAGTACTTTCATCAATTTCAACACGAGTTCTTCACAATACAACATATCACCAAAACAATAATAAAATCACCACAATATCATGTATTATATTTGCACACGCATATCACCAAATTATCATCATGAATCACATCATTTATGTCACAACAACATCATTAACAAATAACCATGGTAAAACATCATAATCAACATCATGTTTATCATTAAAATAACACATCATGGTATAACAACATGTAATAAATCAATCTCATAAATATATTGATATTGGAATCATGCATCAAAACACCCATTTAATTTAATCATAGTATAGTTCATCATGTTAGCTTTCCAACGCTTCGGACGATGCATCAATCAGACTCCTGAAACTCAAGTTACGATGTTTTGAAGATTTCTGCTGCATCGCTTCTACCATTCGTCGCCCGGTGAACCCTTTCTGTCGCCCAACGAAACTTGTGTCGCCTTTGCATTGCCCGACGACGCTAACCAGACTGAACTTCTCCTTTTGCGATTTTCCATGGTTGGAGGCCTTACGGACCTCCAAATTTGATTTCGTAAAAAGTTCTGGTTTCAGAATGCGAAATCCCATGATTATATAATATTCTTAACAGCCTATAACAATTATTTTAAGGTCCTAACATCATACATCCATCAAGGATTCATTCATTCAACACATGTTTTTTCCCAATTTTGTCAATCCTTATCAAATTCAACACACATAACACAGACCTATCACACTTTAACCCGATATCAATCATAATAAAAGAAATTAAACCCCTTACCTTATTGTTTTGAGCAATCAATTCTTCTCTTCACGCTTCTCACAATGATTATCCAAACTTCTATGCCCTAGCCTTATTTTACTCTTCTCCCAATATCACGATCATACATAATGATTGTATAACTCTCTTTTTCTCTGTTATCACAAAGAAACCCTAATATCATCCTCTATTGCCCTCACTTAACCAATTTCCAATTACCATTATGCCCTCACTCTTTTTCCTAATTACCAACATAATATTCTAATTAAAATAATTCTTATAAATTAATTATTCTAATTATTCTATAATAATAATCTAAATAATTACTATATAATTATTTAATTATTCTAACACCTCTACTCATCATAATTCACCTCACATTATCCTACGAAATAAATAAAAACATACCAACACACGTCATATAAAACATCATTATTCACCAATAATCCACAAATACTTCTAATAATTCACCAATTAAGCAATTATAAAAGTTGGGGTGTTACATACACCATCGCTTCTTGATTCTTTTTCACGAATCCAAAAGGTTGTGACACGTATACCTTTTCTTGTGGCGAACCATTTAGAAATGTAGACTTCACATCCAGATGCATGAAAGGCCAATTTCTATTTGCAACTATAACAGTCATCAATCTGATTATTTCATGTCTAGCTACAGGCACAAACACCTCAAAGTAATTGAGCCCAAGTTTTTGAAGAAAACCTCTAGCCACTAGCCTTGCTTTGTGCTTGCCATTTGACCTATCTGGCTTAAATTTTACCTTAAAAACACATCTGACGCTGATACCTTTCTTCTCGTTGGAAGCTTAGTCAACTCCTAAATCTTGTTTCTTTCTATATCCTCAAGTTCTTCTTTCATGGCATTCAGCCATACTTTCTTCTTGAGAGCGTCTTCAATACCCACTGGTTCAGAATCTACTAACATGGCACACTGAACGACTTCTCCTTCGAAATCTACTTCAGTGTCTTAGAATATGTCAAACTTTGAAAATCTTCTTGGTATTTGTATGATCCTTTGTGGCCTCTAAACTTTTTTTGAATATTCTACAGAACATGGAACAACGCTAGCTTCTAGACTTAGTCCAGAACCATTGCCTTTAGAAGTACCACCTTCAGAAACATGATCACCTCCAGATTCTGGACCATCGTCAAAATCTAGATAGATATTAGATTCACCATTTGAATTATATTCAGAGTCTCCAGAATCATCTTCTGCCTCTGACTATTCTTCAGAACTTTCAATTTCTAACTCATCTTCAGAACCTTCTGTAGTTTCCTCAGAAGTTACCTCTAGTGTTGGTACTACACCATAAATGGATTGGAACTTACTCCAATCCCATACTTTTGACTCTTTTACAATGGCGTCTCTGTTGATTTCAAATTTATTAGTTTATGGACAATAAAGCTTGTACGCACATGTACTATGGTACCCTACCAGTAACATCACTTTGCTTCTATCATCCAGCTTCTATCTTATAGCTTCTGGAACGTGTTTGTAACATACAAAACCAAACACCTTTAGATGGCTAACACTTTTCTTGTCTCCAACCTACTTCTCTAAAGGAACAATTTCTTTTAGCTTCTTCATTGGACACCTGTTGAGCATATATGATGTGATGGAAACGTCTTCTCCCTATAAGGTGTGAGGGAGCTTCTTCTCTTTCAGCATGCTTCTCATCATATCAAGAAAAGTACGATTTCTTCTTTCAGCAATACCATTGTGTTGAAGAGTATAAGGAACCGTAACCTCATGCTCAATTCCATTCTCCTCACAGAACTTCTGGAATTCTGTAAAGTTATACTCACCTCCACCATCCATTATGAGAATTTTCAACTTCTGACCACTTTGTTTCTCATCCTTCACCTTGAACTTCTGAAATTCGGTAAACACCTCGTGCTTAAACTTGATGAGTGTTATCCACATCATTCTTATGAAATCATCCACAAAAGAAACAAAATACCTGTTTCCTCCAAGTGAAGGTGTTGCACCCAAAAAATTTCCCTCCTAATTTCTTTCATTTGGCTTAGACTTTTGCATTCAGGTGCATATGTTCCATTAGGTCACTAACGTAGCATGCATTGCATTCAAAAGAGCATATGAGGTTCAAAATATTAGCAGCAATGAAGCTAGGTTTTATGACTGATTTGAGGTGTATATGATCGAATAAGATTGATTATTCTGTTTTTTCTTGGTGTACAAGACTGTGGAATTAGGGTTTTGGTTCATGCTCATTTTTAGACTTCTTCTCCATCAAGCTACAAGGCTATTATCTTCTGCTGAACAACAGGTTGCAGGTTTTTCTTGTCAAGGACTCAAGGGTGTGACCTAGCGTACATAGTATTTGAATCAAGATGTCTCCTCATATAAGTATGCTTATCATTTGATCAAGATTAATGACTATGACATGGCATTCATCCACTCTTCAGTTAACCAATTCAGGTTTTGTTGAATCATGGTTCAAAGATATTTTATTTGGATATTTCTCTTTGCATCTGAATTAAGGAATCAAGGTTGTCAGGTGTGGTTATCATGATTTCTTTCTCTTCAGGATATAATTGTTTTTATCCAGTCTCGGCAAGTGCGGGGGTTTGCATTTGTGCGACTAAAGTTTCATGTCAAGGGAATTCTTCTGTGACCCAAACCCTATCGTCTATCTGTAAAGATGTTCCTCGTGAAATTGATTTTGAGTTGAGATAATCGGTCTCTAAGGGCTGAGGGTCGAATTGTGAAGCGTGATTCATGGCCTAAGATATGAATTTGTGGGCTTCTTATTAATCAAGGCAATTATTGTTATTATCATTGTCATTTGTTGTTTGCAATACAAGTGGGTTTGGATAGAAGTAGGCTTCTTATTGAAGGATCCATGCAAGGCGATTCAAGGTTCATTCATAATTTGATTCAGTATTTTTACTCAAATATTCAACACTACTTTAATTCATCCATCTTGTATCACAGATCATTTTATATGATAAATCAAGGAAAACTTGGAATTTAAATGCTAAGGGAAATAAAAATACATTCAAAATCCATTCAAGTGGTTACTTTGGTTATAGTTTGTCAAATTGGATCACCTTTTCTTGAGGCGCGAGTGTGTGGATTGTTTGGAGTTCGAGTAATAGGCATAAATATCATTCATCATCCAATATTCATCGTTTGAAAATCATCTTGATTTAAGTATCATTTTTAAGTTCTCATCATAATAATGTTACATCAAGGAAATTTTAAAATACATAAGTAACATTCAAATTCATCCAAGTTCTATTGTGTTAGGTCAAGAAATCCAAAGGTTATTCCCATGAATCATTACATCCTTAAACTCCATTCAGTTTCACTATTTAAATTCAAGACCATACGAATGTTCATGTTTGCCAAAGCTTGGAATTCAAATGCAAATTGGAGGGAAATTATTCATTCAAATATCATTACATTTTGGGATACTACAAGAGGAAGAATACCTAAGTTGATACAAATTAAACTTCAAAACAGACCCAAGGCAAAAAGAAGGAAGCTTTGCAACATGCCCAAGAAGGTTAGTTGTGGGGACCTGTTGTTCTTGCTTGACAATTGGGTGAAAAGTTTTATGTTGATATTGTGAAGCAAATGGAACTTCGTCAACTGATTGCAGGGTCTCCCCTTCTCACATTATTCCTTCTAATTGCTGGATAACCAGTTGAAGTTTTCTCATCCCACAGTTCAAATAGTCAGGACCCTAGTGCTTTTAATATGCCTCGGCATCCTGCACAGCTTCAGTTTGGATCTAACAGCATGCTTAATGATTGGGAGGGGAATTTGGTTGTAATAACTGCGAGCTAAACCAAAAAACCTGCATAACAAATCAACATCACAGAAAATCAGAACTGAAGCAACCGTTACTTACACAAAGTAGTACACGCCAAATCACAGAGACCCGATATTTTCATCACGCATACACGCATAGTATAAACGAAAACTTGTTTAGATGTGAAGCGATTTCGAGGGATTAACAAACACTAAGTTTGGTTCAGAAATGATCAAGCAGTACAGAGATTTTATTTTCTTACATAAATGACCATATGGAAAAAGCCAATTTGACTTCGCCCGCATATTCAAAGGCAAATCCAATTCTGAACAAAATCCATACCCGTTGCAGATTAGAATGGTTACCTTTTACAAAATTCCAAACCCAGTTTATTCATATAACAGAAAAACAAAAATTCAGTTTTCATCAAAAGGAAATATAGAGGGAAGATAAATGGTATATCAGGAAGTCAGATGAAAAATCAGGAAAAGAAGTAAAAGAGAAAGCTGCAACTCGCGGAAATAAGAAAGTCAGTTGGCAAAATAGAATTTCACAGAAAAAACTTCTAAATGCTAACCAGAACTTATTCATAACAAAAATAGAATAACTAACAATAGCTGGCATCGCATATACGGATCTGGTCATTCAAACCATAACAGAACTGTCAAAAATCAGCGGCTCAGATAGTGTGCAATTCCTAATTGTTTTCTAACAACTCTAATAGAAATATAGAAATAGGGGATTACCAGATTTTTGGATTCTTCAGAACTTACATTAGAATCACAGAAAGAATCACAAAAAGCTCTGCCTCCATTCTACACTTCTGCAGAAGAATCACGCTCAAAAAAAATTTCTCTTCTTGCTCTCATCTTTCTTCATCACCTTCATCACAAATCTTCATTCCCCTTAAGATGATTCTTCAAGCATATCAATATCTTCATCTTCTCTAGGAATTCTCTAAAATTTTCATCTCTCACTCTTCTTCTTTGAGCCTCAACAATATTACACTCCGTGTCACTGAGCTTCGACAATCCACAACAACTTCGTCTTCACGCGTCCACGCAACCGCATCGTCATCTTCAACAGAGACAAACAACAACAACCTCTCAACAATTCGCGTAAACCACAAAAACCTGTGAACGGTAACAAGCTTGGGAAGGCATCACACGAAGTGGAAACAAGAAGAAGAAGATTGGAAGCATAAGTGCAAACTCTGAAAAGAGCGTAGACTTTGTACCCGACGAACAAGGATTATCTGGATTTCTTACGACGTTGACATTGTTGGAAGAGCACAGGACCTCTCGCTGGTAGGTAAATCGTAATTTCTTCTAATCTTGAATCGATTTTCTCTTTTCTGCATCTTCTACATGAATTGAAGCATGGAGATCCTATCGCAAATTTGATGGAGTTCGAATTCATGCGGCTTAACCGTGATCGATGTTGAACGGAGTGATTGAAAAGAGACGAAGTGAGACGGAATCGAAAGAGAGAGAGGGAGAGCATGGTTGAGATTATGGTGGCCGGAGGATGTGTGACGATGCCGTGAGAGAGGGATCAGAAAACAAGCAGCGCCGCTGCTGTTTGGAAGAGAGACGAAAGAAGTAGCATTTCATGTAGAAGTTGAAGGGTCACTACATACGAACCCTAATCCCTTTTAATATTGCTTTTCTTTTTCATTTAATTTTTACTAATTGTTTTTTTGTTATAATAATAGAAATGATATATAAATAAAAAAATCTGGATCCAGTTATGTTGGTAAGTGGACCGAAAAACATTCAGAATGGAGCCCAATATGCCTTTTTTTTTTGCATTTTTGATGTTGGTGAAACAAAACAGTTGTTGGACTGTGTTGATGGGCTTAGCACCCAGGTTGTTGTTTTAATGGAGTACACTATTGCCTACCATCCGCACCACCCCCAAAGTCCACAATAACTATTTTTTTAAGCCTGGTTGCTTGTGACAAAAAAGCTTATTGGATCCTGATTTGGCTAGGCCTAACACCCAGATTTCTCCTACACCCCTGGGTTATTGGCTTGCACCCCCTGGGTTTATTATTTTAGTATTTTTATTTTAAATAATTTTGTGAATTGTTTAGATTTTCTTGAACTTTTTTCTTTTACATGATAAAAATAATAAAGTCAAGTATAAAAATTTGTTAGTTTTTTATGTGATTTTAGGAATTAAATCCCGATTATCCGATTATATTTGAGATTGGTAATTCACCTTTACTTGTTGAGATTTGAGTCTTACGCAGGTTTATTGTGCGATATCGGGATGCGCTTGAGATTTCTATTGTGATTTATTTTCACATCGGTGATGCGTCGATACTTATTCCAAGCATTTTATTTCTAACTCCTTTCTTTGATTGGTGAAGATTCATGAATATCATCGGGTTTCTTTATTTTGATAGGCTTTGCTATAGATTGATATTCGTTTGGTATTTTCCCTTGTTTATCTCATTTCAATACTTTACATGTTTTTAGATATCATGAGAAGTAGGAAATAAAGAGCGTGTGCTCGAAGTCACTATTTAAAGACTTGTAGCAGGCATTCAACACTTCATTTGTTATATGTGTTGTGCTTGTGTTTGTTTCCTTGGTTGTTGATCGATGAGTCACTCAATTTAGAAATTGAGATCACGACTTCGCTCTCAGTGCATGCTCCCTATAGGATTTCATTGCTTTCCTTTATTTCTTGTTGATCAATGAGTCACTCAATTTAGAAATTAAGATCACGACTTCGCTCTCATTGCATGTTCCCTATAAAATAGTTTTTGTTAGATTTTCTTTGGCATGATAGCCTAGACACGATCTCTCTAGGTGTGTTATCTTGAGCTTATTGGCTTGCTTTCTTGATTTCATCTTTGTGTGCATGTTTTGAGATGATATACCCTCGGCATGTTCCCTTAGGAGCTCTCGATTCAACTATAGATGATGATTCAAGATAAACATAGTTTTAGGTGATATACCCTTTCTATGCTCCTTTAGGACCTCTTGATTCATCTATAGATGATGATTTGAGATAGACATTAATATTATTATCCAAGCATGTCAACATAGGGTAGAGATTTCCCTTTAAAACTCGACCATAGGACCACCATTGTATGATAACGTTAGGGATAGATTTAGGCTAGTCTCCCTTAGATGTTTTCTTTCTTTTGCATCATTACATTAAGATTAAAACTCTTTTTCTTGGAAAATCTTAAAACATATAACAATTTCCGAATCCTTCTTTAAGGTAAAAGCTATTAACCAATGCAAACTCTTTAGCGCCTTCGGGACTTTCTTTCAAACTTTTCAGAAAGAACATGTTAATTTACTTCTGTGCTGACGTGTGAGTGTCCAAAGGTCGAGCTGCGGCAGAAGGCGAAATTAATATTGTTCATTAAAAAATACAAACCAACAAAACTTTTGAAGCCAAACTACGACTGCTCTGATTCCTTAAAAGGGATACGTAGGCATCGGGGTAGGGCCCGAACGAGCACAACATTTATTTTCTCTACATTCTTTTCTCCTTTATTTTGCATGCATTCCTTGTACAGTTTAGATATAGATTTGAAACACACCCTTTGTTTAGAACAACATGAGTGGATACCGTAGAGTACTACGGGCGTATGGGGTGCTAATACCTTCCCCTCGCGTAACAGACTCCCTTACCCGATCTCTCGGCCGTTTGATCGTGATTTCACCCTTCTCAGGTTTTCTCGATGTTTACCTTTCCCTTTCGATAGGATAAAATACGTTCGATGGCGACTTCATTGATTTCATTATCAGTTGATTGTTCATCCGGTTGTTTCAGCTGGAGACTTCACTGGGGTTAGATTGACCTATTGTTGGTCCATCCAGGAGTTGATCATATATCTTGTTTTATTTTCCTTGGGTGTTTATTTTTATGCTTTATAGCTTGTTCATTTTGTACATGTTTATTTATGCATATGTTTGAATTGTATTTTATTGTTTTCTATATTGATGATACTGCTATGCTGGCTATGTTTTCATGATTGGGTGGGTGTTACTATGAGGTGAAAGGCCCAATACCCAGGCCAAAGTGCACTAGGATACTAGGAATAGAGTGGAACATGAATGACTAGTTGACGTAGGTTTCACTATTGCCGCCATGTCGTCCATGCTCAGATGAGGTACAAATGAGGGGTTATCATTTTCACGTAGGTGATACGAAGACAGTTTTCTCAAGAGTACCCTTGATTCTGAGTTACCCGACCTTACCCTGACCTAGTCTTTACCCGTGAGTGGGGGGGGGGGGGGACTTGATTATTATAGGTACAAATGGTGACTATGTTCTGATGGTGACCGTTGTGTTCTGTTGGTGACTATGGTTATTTGGTTATGTTCTGGACCTTTCATCTTGATATATTCAACTTGTCCAGAGATTATACAATGATTATTCATGGTACTTGGTTCCATTGTATGCTGAAATTGGTGTCGAACCTTTGATCTTGTGATATCCAGATTGTTCAGTATATTTATACAGCAGTTATCCAGAGGATTGTATAGTTGTCATGCTGAAATTTTGAACCTATGTCATTGCACCTTGCATCATAGCATGTTTATTTTACAAAAAAAAAGAAATGTGAAAGATTGTATGCATAAAAAAAGATGTTTGAACACAGCATTGCATCCACTCATTCACTTCATGCATCTTCACGCATCCATAACAGGTACTCAGAATGGGGAATCCTTATTCATACTCGGTATTCTCTTGTCATAACTGTGAATCTTGACTTCTCACCGCTTCGTTGTTTGAAAAATCCATGAACGACTTAATGGGAAATTAGATGAGATGATGAGATAAAAAAATTACATGAGGCTGTTTATCATGGACATGCAGGTTTTGGCCAATGGTCAGAAATCCTTAAAGGAGGAAAGATAACCAGTTAGAGACTTAGTTGAGTCGGATATGGAAGTTCCAAAGACAGTGTCAACAAAGGAAAGTGGTCTTGTATATGTTGTTGCAATAGGATCTGTTATTCATCCCCAACATATGGGACTTTTTTTTTAGGTCATGAGATACTTTGTGGGTCTCATCCAGAACTTCGTGTTCCTGGATTTTCTTGTTAGCAGTTAGTTTTTGGTCTTCAAGTGAACCCATGGGGAAAAGCTTATCAGCAAAGACATAAGAAACCTAAGAAGTATATTGATACAATCTTTGTAGCTTGCTTCCAGTTACTTCCTCGTGTGTTGGAAGCTCAGTTGATTAAGCTTCGTGCTTTGGGTCATCCTCCCATAAATTTCTCCCTGATTTCGATGCAAATGCTGGATGTGTCTCCCATTTTGGGGCACCTGGTTATGATATTGAAGACTGCAAGAGGTTGAAGTATAAAGTTTGGCACTTGTCTGACTTCTTTTCCAAGGTTCAGTCCATGTTTGGCAAACCATTTCAGGCTCTTTCTCCTCAATTGAGTGCTTCTTCTGTGTAGTAGAAGATGTGGATGCTTCTAAGATGAAGAAGCATAAGATGCCTAGTTCTTGGACATCTACTGTTGTGTAGAAGAAAAATACCTCAAAGGTCGAATTCTACATTCATAGTTTAGTTTCTTCTGTGTAGTAGAAGATTCTTGTTACAGTTGCTGGATTTTACTTCTGTGTAGTAGAAGACAGAGATTCTTTTGTGAAGTAGGAGATTCTCCGTAATTCGGTTGCTAAAACTTCTCTCTTATGAAGTAGGAGATGAAGTTTACTTTATTCTGTGTATTAGAAGATCCTTTGGTATGGTTGTTGGATGTTGCTTCTATGTAATAAAAGATGGTGCTTCTTTTGTGTAGTAGGAGACGCTCTAGAATTCAGTGGCTGGATTTCTCTTCTGTGTAGTAGAAGATGGTTGGCGTTTCTTCTCTGTGGTAGAAGACACTTTGTGATGCAGTTTATTCAAGTTCACTTGATAAAGCATTCATCACACATGGTGAAGGAATCCGATGTGATTACCATACTGGGGAACTAGGCCATTCAATTGAAGATTGCGGGGCCTTCAAAGAAATTATGCAAGACCTGCTTGATGCAAAGGCTATCAATTTCGAGCCAGCCAGTCAAATTTGAAGTTTCCTTTGACTCAGTGAATGTCAATACTTCCAGATCATTGTCTGAAGCAACAAGTCCATACGAAGACTAGTCTCCTCAACATGGAAATTTCAAATTACATTTGCATTCTCATTTGTAATCTCTCTTGTTTTGGTTCAGTACTTTCTTGTATGCAAAACTTGCTTATTTTTTAATATTAATCATAATCCATTGAATATGTTTATCTTGAATTACTTCATTCGTACTCACTGATTAATGTTTTTCTTTGCTTTTTGATACTTAAATCTTGTTAAATAAAGAAAAAACCTCCGGAGGGAGGATGATGAGTAATATGCCAAAAATTTCAAACGGTGTGCTTTTGAATAAAAACCATGTTGACAATGTACATGCCTTATTTCAATTCCTAAACATCGGAGATATAAGGGAGTGAAACCCTCGTTAACCCCTTTTGAGCCTTGGAGTAGGAGT